ATATATATATATATATATATATATATATATATATATATATATATATATAAATAATAACTATAACTGTTTGTTTTTGTAAACGGTTGTGTCACCTAAGTTTCCTGAGTAGGTCAGTCTAATGGCCTTTTCAGAGTGTTTATTATGTTTCCCCTACACATGCTGAACATTATTTTTGCCTTGTTTTTTTACATATAAAAAAATGTGCAGTATACTGTTAACAACAATAAGTATTTTCCTCCACCTCTTCTCGCCACCATTATACAACGTTGTAACAATCGCAGTCCAGGTAGTTCTGTTAGTGATGAAGATTCAAAGCAATGTCCTCTGTGAATGATAATGACAACAAAGGATTTATAGTCTCCATGATACATGTAATACATGAGCAGATCTTCTGTCCATTAGCCGGCCTTAGTAATCATGTTGTTTATCAAAGCAAAAATAATCCTTTATCACCACCAGATGCCACACAGTGGCTTCCCTCTGAGACAAAGAATCACTTACACTGGTGATGTTTACCACACTGGTGGCTTTCTGAGGTTTGATACTAGTATTCATACTTCCACAGATGAAAACAATTGTTCTCTATATTTAGTAATCTTCCATTTAGTCATTGAAAAATAAATATTTTGTGCTTCTTTCACATTCATGTTGTCAGTGTACTGCTGCTCTCAGGCTACTACGGTGTGAAACTAACTAGCTATTGAAACCCAGACTAAGTGATCCACCACACTGACAGGACATTCAATGTCTCCTTTCAATGAGAAATGTCTTTGCATATATGGCTGTTGTCAAAGAGTGACTTTAATCATGTCTACACTCATCTATTTTCTCAGATTCACCCTAAAGCAAAGGTAGACCAAAAACATGATCAGCTACTCTGACCACACCCAGTTACATCGCATTATTGATTATTCACTTTTTCACGCTATAATCATTGTCTACAGAGCCTTCCACATCATTGTCAGTTAGATACAGATATTATCCAACTCCAAGTTTTATGTAATACTTGCAACCAAAATGTCTGTCAGGGAGGCTTTAGATAGAGTAGCAATATATAGAGTAGGTCTGCTCCTGACTGTGTCTCCCACATGCTGACCCCGAATGTCCCTCAGCCCTCATGACCACAGCACTCTGCCAATCACTACTGCAACCTGTCATCTGTGATAGAGTCTCACTGCTCTCGGCAGACATGCAGCTCACCACCGGGGCCTTCAAACCCTATCACCATAAACCTGACACTAGAGATTATGTGTAAGTGTAAAGTAAACATCTTAGCGCAGTTTTGGAGTGAGTGTATCATTATTTTTATATACATTACTTAGATGCAGGGTGTGCATCATTACAGAGGATAATACAATGCATATACCTGCATTATCTTCTCTTGTGTCAACTCGAGTGCTACTCTCCAGAGAATTGCATCAAATACACTGAGACAGTTTAATTAAGGAACATAATTTTGCCTAACAGCATCCACTGACCTAGCTAGCGGAGCATTGTCTGGAGTTATGGGGCCTCACTGTGTTTAGGTCAGCGGCTTTATGTTATTGGCTCCCTGGTGCTTTCCTTCCATCAGCTATAGCTCGGCAAAAGAGCAATTCAGAAAAATGTTGGTCTCACAGCTGAGCATAGAACGAGAAGACACATTTTACATCAGCATAATATACCCCGTAGTGTTGACAAATTAGATTGGAAATCTTTTTTTGCGATTGCTGGTAATGTACCCAAGGTTTCTGGCTTTCTGTGGTGGTTTACTTCTTTTATTCCCAAAGGAAGTGGATGATTCTCGTTTATTATTTCCAGTTCAGTTGGTTGGATAGATCTCGTCCAACTTGCCAAACTGTGTGTCAGTTGATTCTGATGTCCGTTCCGCAGAATCAAAGGAAAAGGCTTTTCTTTCTAGACTTGCCACATTGCATTGACACTCAGACACCTGTTTCTTTATGAACAGTAGCCATAAGGTGTGTTTTGTAGAAGAATTGGGTTTTTCTCAACAGGAAAACCTCTTACTCTCTTAAAAGTCATGAGTGATTTTCTAAGAAATGAGAAACCACTAACTGAAGCAGACGTTATGATGACATCAACATTGAGTTATCACCTCTCCCTAACATATTATATTGTTTTTTTTTCTTTTAATGAACATAATTACATGCAGCGAAAAACAAGTGAGCACTAATGAGTTGAGCCGTGTGTTTAAGCAGCTGCTTAAAAACATAACTACCTGCCATCCCATCATTCACGTTCAGCCGTTTGAGCCAGATTGAAGTGCTAGTATATTATATAATGTTTCTAACTATGTAGCAAGTGTTCAGTGGGCATATTCTGTCCTGCCGAACTGTTCAGTTAGTCATAAAAGAAGGAAATAGCTCATAATCATTCTGTGACAGCTTTGTAAGTAACAATTTAGATACGAGTTCCATTCACCACAGAAAGTGTTGAGTCGGGCACACTGTTAATTAACAAATTTCTCGCATGGGCAGCTTCCCTAAATGCTGCATTTTCATACAGAGTCAATGACGGAAAGCTGAGCGCCCTGGTTTAGAATCAAACATTCACAGCCTCTTCCTGTGAAAGTGCAGTCAGAGAAGGTTGCGGCTCAAATGGCCCAGTTTGCGCCCAGGACTAAGTGCCATCATGGGCTTCTTAAGTGTCACTGTCCTCTGCAAACACTCTGACTCCATAGTGCTCCTACACGTTTTATTAGTCTTTATTCGTTATTTTTAACAAGGTTATGTTCTTCTGCTACGAATTTCATGTGTCTTTTCTCAATAGATTGCAAAGTCAGTGCCTGAGAGTATATATTATTCACACTAATGATAGGGTGAGTCAGTAAATAATTGTCAGATTCACTTCTGCACAGCACTGGATGGGGATTTGTTCAAGTCCGTGAAAATGGGACATTTAAGCTGTGAAGCGACTTTCTAGGCGACAGCAAGGAGACTTTTAAATTTCCCATTTGCAGTACAAATACAGTCAGTGTTTGTTTATGACTAGGAGGCTAAGTAACATTGCCAGTGATTTATGAAACACAAGCCAAAGATACACCGGAAAACGAGTGAGAGATAAAGCTACCTTCATGCTAGACACGTAGGTGTGGAGACTCGAAATTACTTTTGATAGGTTTAATCTGCTAAATGATGCAGCTAGCGTGATCAAAACAAATGCATCATTATCCTAAGAACAAACGAGACATGATGTTCTGATGTTGCAAACATGCTTTTTTCTTTGCACAGGTGAGGGTCTTGCATTGCACCCTACAGGTTTGCTTAGATAAATCATGGATTTAGTGTTGTTGATGCTAATCTGAGTTTAATGTGAGCAGACTGCTGAAAGGCAGAGGTTCAAAGGAACACAGACAGTGAAGTGATGTTAAAGGCAGTGTTGGTAATCATCATCAAAAAACAGTATTCATATTTTTATTGAAATTGTCATTACATCCTGACAGATTAATCAATTATTCAAATGCTTAAATCAGGTATATGTGGCTGTTGCAGGACTGTAATAAGCCCGTCCAACCATTTCATTCAGCAAGACGGTCTACCTGTCTACCTGTCTGTCTGCCTGCGCGTATTCTGCCAGTGTACTCACTGTTTGTCACATACTAACAATAGCCATGTTTGTT